CTCTATTGTGGCCATTAGTATTGCACTAGTTTTCTTTGATAAGCTACAATTGTGGCTGGTCAGATTTTAGGGGTTATTAGAAACTATTAAAAAGTTATATTGTATAACTTAAAATTAACTTTTACACAATCCTGTAGGAAATTATGATTTATCACAAATTATACCTCAATCAGCCCCTAATGAATCAGGTCATACTGTATGACATGCATTTTTTTGTGATATTTAGAGTCCCTTTTAACTCAGTGTGAAAATGCAGATATCCTTGGATATGATATGGTGAAATCAAGCTCAAGACTTGCAAGGAGATGCTCTGGTAAAAGCAGCTTGCAAAGCAGGAAAACAGCAGGTAGTGACTATGAACTCTTCTGATTCACACCTACATAAAAGCAAGGCTTACTTTAGGATAACAATGAAGGTACTCATATCAAAAAAGTAAAAAAGAAACTAATATCATCATTAGTCCCTACTCTGACCTTGAAGTTGATAATTCTAACCTCATTTTATTACACTTTTGTTATATCACAATAATAAATCATCTTCGTTATTTTCTATTTTTGATCAGCTAGCAGGACATGAATCCTCCAGTATTCTGAATACTGTATTTAATCCACTGTCTCCAGGAAAATATATTTACGTAGTTTTGTGAAATGTCTCTACACGTAGATGGCTCTGCAAATTAGACCTTGTCAATCAGACCTCGAGAACTCCCCTAATTTCTTAACCTTAAGTTAGCTGAAAAAACATTTTTTTTTTTTTAAACTAATGCTATCAATATTGATGTCATCAATTTTACTATAGATATAATAGTTATCATAGTGTTACTGACATTACTAACATAATTCTAAGATATTTTTGAAAATCAAGGAAAAGGGTAAATAGGCGAGACATGTAGTACTCGTAACTGGCTCACTGGTGACTTTGTACATGTGGAGCCATCTACGTGTAAAAACAATTGATAAATCAAACTCACTATCCATGGCATGTATGTAAATGCCGTCTCTGGACGCTTTGGGTTAAGCATTACCATTTTTCATAATGAAAAGAAAAAAATTAAAAAGCCATTGAACTTGTTTTGCCTAGTAGTGTATATTACCATTTCCAATCATTACAACCTTATGTGCCTTATCAGAAGCACAAGAGGTATATTAAACCTAAACAGTCAAATATCTTAAATCAAAACCCTCAGGTCATAAAGAACCAACTGCTCATCATAGAAATATTCAAGAAAAGAATTAGAACATTCAACTAGACTTATACATGTGCCTTTATATGTAGAAAAAAAGAACGAAAAAAAAAATCAATACGCAGGAAACTTCCAGTAAGTGTAATCTATTCATGATGAATGATGAGAGCAACTGAGACTTACTTGAAACATCTAGAATATCTTAAATATGAATACCACTCAGTTTAGCAACTTTCTCCTGTGCTTTTAACATACATCAAAATCTTCCCTCCAAAAATAAAACTATTTATCTGCTATAAAGATAAACATAATGAGATCCACAGAAGTGAATACTTAACATCCCATGAAGTAAAACTAATCCTGGAAGGAGAAGAAGAATGGCCCAATTTTCTTACTGATCATATCCTAATCTTACTGATAATTAGAAAGCATTATTCATGTGATTTCAAACAATCCTTACATCTTTCCAGCATATGAGGATCAGTCAGACTAAACCTTACAAAGCTTAGCATGCTGCTGAAAATAAAGTATTAGCATCACAGTCACACTGGTATATAATACCAGTAAAATTTTCAGCCTATACCATATGTTGGAACCCAACTTCTGAAAGGTTACAACAGGAAAATCAAAGTTCCTTAACATCAAAACCAAACCTAATCTTTCTATGCTCTAGCAACTTGAGAAATGTGTATTGGCATGACATGAACCCTTGAACATATTAAGAGATTGTATTGCAGAGCACCACTACATTTCCATTCGAGTAAATAATAGGGCAGCTAACCCTGTAAGAAAAAACCCTGAAATGACAAATAACAAGCCAATGCACTTTTATGCACTGCGATCAACTAAATGGCTTCATACAAAGGTCTCTTTTAATGCTACTGCTGTATGTATTTTTCTTAAAGCCAGCAGCTGATTTTGATTCAGTATTTTTCCCATATTGGGTTTCTGGTCCCTCTGGTTTTCAACAGCCATTTCACCCAAAACTCTAAAAACTGTAATTCTATAATAAAGAAGCCTAATTTTAAATCAACACTGTCAATGTTTTTTTTTTTTTGAGGCACTTTCATAAAATAGGTGGCATTGATCTCTTTTATGAATCTGTTTGTTTGTATCTGACCGATGCAGGAGTCATTTATCTCATGACTATGTTCATTGCTTTCTATTTGCTCTCAAATTTTAACACTCACACTGATAATTGTTAGCCTCATAACTGAATAACTCACTGATGTTACCTCTTCACTCCTCTTTCTGACAACCTGACATTCACCCAAATAAAACAAAAGGAAAATTCAGTTTCTTATATACTAATTTGCAAGTTCCCTTTAGCTTCTTTTCCCCCCATATGCCGCCATTCAATTTGATTTTATTTATATTTTTTCCAGTAGACTCAAACATTTTGATTGCACTTCCTAACATTTATCAAGACAGACCACATCTATTATGAACCAGCTTATTATTCTAACAATCTTGAATATCACCCCATCTGCATAATAATCTAGTTCATATTCACACATGCATATGAGCACACACAATCTTACTCACTCACTCTTTCTTTCTTGATCATAAGACTAGAATGTAAATGATTTAATGGAAAACAACATTCAGGACTGAAGCTTCACATTCCTGCCAGAATAAAAGATCCAAAGGCTTTAAATTCATGCAAATTTACATGCGCATCCATACAGATTTTGATGTCACATTGCATGCATCCAAAGAGGGGCAAGAACTCTTAATATCAATAAGTGCATGTTGGATCGTATCTGTTCTGATTATGTCTTATTCCTTTGATAAATTAATTACTGTCTTTAAAAAAAATCCATGTTGTAGAAATATACCATAAACTAACCACAGAATATATAATACTAAAGACAAATACTGACACAACAATGGCAACAAACCACAAAACCAATCATGGGATACCAATAATAATAACAAAACCACTGAAAAATATACTAAACTAACTATAATGATTACAGAAAAAAATAAAATATCAATACTACTACAACTACAACTATTGCAATTAAAACTACCATATTTCTGCCTACAATAAAAAAAATAAATCTACATCTAGAGGTCACTAAGTCATTAACAAGATGCCATTTCACAAATGCATCATCAGTAACAACTTACTCAAGTGATACATCTTGACTTCAGGTTCAGTAAACAATTAAAACACTCATTCATATATCACAGTCACTTGCATTATCTTATTAATAATCCATTCAGTTTCAAGGCTGAGAAATGTACTGTTTTTCAAAACATTCGCATAAAATGACATAGCATACTTTTTCTATTTATCTATCTATCAATATTTCAATTTGCATATAATTTTTCTGCTTATATATTTTTCTTAAGATAACTTTTAGGGTAAGGAAGAGTCAAAACACTTCTGAGATTCTTACTAACTTACCAATTAGAATGATCTTTTACATACTGTAACTGTAGTTACAAAACTTAATTTTGTAAATTATATATTTAGTTCATTATCCTTGAATTTTGTTTATCTAATTTTCAAAAAAAAAAAAAAAAAAAACTCATCTTGTTTTAGAATGAAATAGCATCATTGCAGTATATCAAATTAGAATTACAAGTGATACTGATTGATAAAACAGTCATCAATATGTTTTTATCCTTTATCTTGATAACTTGCCTCAGTCCTTTAGATCCTGAGTTGAATTTAATGAAATGCATTAAAAAACAGTTAAATGGACAAAAGCACATGCCTCTAGCAGACTGTATTCTTAAAAACAAAGGGTCACTTCAAAAAAACATGCTTCATGCAACAAATGCAGTCAATGAGAAGGAAAAAATGATAATAAATCCTATGATCACTTAAATTTAATTGCACAGTGCAGGGGGTAAAACAACCCTAGTGGATTAAAAACAAATGCTCAACTGTTTAGATTTCATCCTCATTCAACTTTTCATTCAAAGAAGTTGCCAATGCCCTCTATTGCAAAAACACTTGATATTAAAAAGTTCAACTACAACACCCTGCATAAACTATTCTTTTCTAAATATTTTATGCCTAGTAACTCATATTTCTCTTATTAACTCTACCAAGGTACTAGTGTCATCTACATTTGAAACTATAAACTATAATTAATGGGAAGGCTTGGTAAACTGTCCGAGATTTATCACCTGTTGATAGTGTTAGTGTTATACAATAATACTACAATAATTGCACTCACACACCTGCTATAAGTATTCCCATTTTCATAATCCAATTTTGTCACAATCAAAATCAAACATCTACTCAGATCTACCACAAATTCATACTTTCTCACAGCACCTTCTCTTAAAGTATAAGTCAACATGAAACAAAATAATTTTTCCTCCTCATACATTTTTTCTTTGAATACATACAAATCAAATACTACAGTTCTAAATAGAAGCAAATGAAATTTCTACTTCCAATTTGTAATTAGCTGCTAAATCATGTAAATAATATTTGCACAAAATAATCAATGTGAAATAGATTTAGTAATCAAATCACCTTCCAATGACAAACCAAAAAGACTTGGGATCTAGCTGACTTACTGCGCTACCCAGGCATTGGTGTTTGTATTGAAGGACTCTATGAGATGGCTAAATTGGTTGGACCCCTCCCAGAGAAGGATTTTGACGTTTCTACAGCCATCCCATCGCATCCCATCTGTGTCCCGGCCATTGAAAGCTAGTCCTGGGGCCAGTAAAAATGTGTTGAAGGGACTAATAGAAGAGGAGATGTATCATATCTGGTTAAGATACTTCAAAAAGCAAGAAAGAACAAGCTGACAAAACAAAACATAATAAAACAAATCACAGTGCACTTGTAAAAATAAAAATCTGCATCCTGTAAATATTGAGGCGAAGGTGCTATTCACCTGATTAACCCCTTCTGTGCAAAAGGAGGAAATATTTACTAGAGATTGTTCAAGGTTCATGACAAAAATGAGACTACTCATACCTAAGTATTCTAGTTATAAAACCCACATACCAGAAATTTAAATTTTGATTTGGCATAACAAGTGTATATGAAAGACATCTAGTTACTATTGAACTGAACACTGAAATATCTTGTGGATAACCTAGTAATTCACATTCCAATTTCATGTTTCTTATTATATCACTGTATGTTTTTGGTTTTCTTTTAAATATGGTAATATGAAATGTGAAAATGCTGAACTGATATATATCACTCTTTGTATACATTTGACACATTTTCCAAGGCTTTGCAGGATACTTTTTTGAAACTAGTTATTCCCAGCAGAAAATATAATCACAAATTATTTTGTACCATAGACTTTTTCATGACCTAAAAAAAAAGGGTTAGGTTTCAGCAATGTGTCAATTAAATATTCCAATTCTATCTAAGTTCATCAGATATCTAAGCATAACCTGACTATAAAGATTTTGTTCTTAACCCAATCAGCACAAAAGGCAAGAATACATGCCATGTAATATAAGCTCATTTATTGTCTTTACACATAGATGGCTCTACAAGTGCTTAGTCACCAAAGAGTCAATTATTAGTCCTACCTATCTCACCTGTTTACCCTTTTCCTTGATTTATGGAAAGTGCCTTTTGTATTATTTCATTGTCTTTATCATTATGAAGATTTTAATGACAATCTAATAATCATAATATCAATAAAAATAATAACAGTATTGACATCAATAGTAACAGAAAGAAAAACACATTTTACCACTATTTCAAGGAATGGGGAAATCTGGATTGATAACTAGGGCATACTGCTAGACTCCTTGCTGGCTGAGCACATGTGGAGCCATCTCTGTGTAACAAAATTCACAAAAATCTACAGGGGATATTGCAAAAACCTGTGGTGATTGGGTTAAAAAGAAGTCTTAAACATAAGCCTGGCTAATCCTGTTATATGAGACATAGAGGGAAGGAGAGAAAGAGAAAGAGAATGAGAGAGAGAGTGTCAAAGGGAAAAAGTTGAGAGGGAGAGGGAGAGAGAGAGAGAAATTTCTTAATTAATCTGTTATGATTATATTTACTCTGTATGATGCACTTTGTGATTAACAAACATAATAAAGTCAAATCTAAATAGTAGAAGCCTTATTAACCCAATGCAGCCAGGAAAATTTGACGCTCACCTTAGTATCAATTTGTGAAATGCATCTACAGAGAGGTGGCTCCACTCATGCTAGGCCACAAAGGAGTCAATTGGTAGTTTATGTGCCCTCTCCTTATTTCCCCCTTGCTTGAGTTTTCAGATTTATTTTTTTAATGCTATCAATATCAATGTTATTATTACTATTATTATTGACATTACATTTATTACAGTGTATTTAAATTACCAACAGAAATATGAAATAAAATAGAACATTCTGGCAAATCAAGGAAAGGGTAAACAGGCGAAATAGGTTGGACTAGTGATTAACTCACTGGTGACTAAGCACTTGTGGAGCCATGTGTAAATATAATCAACAAATCAAACTCACTGTGGGCATGGAATGGAAGTACATGCCATCCCCAGCAGCACTGGGTTAAGAAGCAACAGACCAACCTTGGCAAATTCATGTATCAGTTGTTAGTTCTGCCTATTCTTATGGTTATTTTTTCTTTCCAAGTTAATCAAGTCTGGTATGATACTGTTAGAACAAAAACTAAAATATTGAAACAGAAGTAATGTATTATGCACTTGAGGTGTCATTGACCCAAGTTCAGATCAATCAATTCCAAACAGTTGTGACTGAGTCATATATCTATCCCGTTCCAAGGGTGATTCCATATCATACATATACAAACATACTCATTAAACATGTACAGATGGGCAAATAAAGACTAACAAAGAGACAGTGAATACATACACATTATATATATATATATATATATATAATATATATAATATATATATATATATATATATAATATATATATATATAAATATATATATATATATATATATATATATATATATATATATATATATATATATATATATATATATATATAAATATATATATATATATATATATATAAATATATATATATATATATATATATATATAAATATATATATATATATATATATATAAATATATATATATATATATATATATATATATATATATATATATATATATATATATAAATATATATATATATATATATATATATATAATATATATATATATATATATATATATATATATATATATATATATATATATATATATATATATATATATATATATATATATATATATATATATATAATATATATATAATATATATATATATATATATATATATATATATATATATATATATATATATATATATATATATATATATATATATA